AAACGTTGTTTGTGGATAGTGACTCGCCGGCGCTTGCCTCCAGCCGAGTCAATCCCCAAGTCTCTCCAACAGGATTGGATTTTGGGATCTTCAGGTCCCAAGTGTTCAGCAAGCTTTTTCTCCATGGCCCGGCTGGAGCAGACCCATGCCGATTTGCCAATAGAGATTGGGAGGTGCTGGGCCTGAAAGGCTTGCTTGACGTGTCGCCAAACTTTCAAAGACTTGTGCACCACTTCCGTAGTCGACTTGCCCTCAATGTCGAAACTGGAGTCATCGATGTACAAGTCGCAGTGGTCTAAGTTTGGGTCGGCCCATAACTCAGACATAACCGGGTGCATCACAAGCTTGGACAACCCCGGGGCATAGGGGCATCCAGCAATGATGCCTCTGGTTGGCTTGACCGGGGCAGACAAGGTCTCCTCCGTGCAGATGTATCTGGAGTGGGTGTAAAGCGACAAGCAATGGTGCAAGATAAGGGGAGGGAAGTCGTGCTGTTGGGCTTGCAGAACAAGTTGCAACAAGCCAACATGCTCGTAGAATTCCCTCAAATCAAGCAGCAGGGTAGTGCCCTGCTTTTTGAGATGGTGTTGGATTTCGCCGCGAACCAAACGGGTCAGGGCTATATCCAACGACGCCATGCCCTTCTTGGCGCCATCCCACGGAGCAGCATCAGAGTATTGCTCCGCCCACTTTTCGTACAAAGGCCAACGTGCCCGGGCCCAAAGACGATACCCGAAGGAAGTAAGTCCTATGGGTCGTTCCCTTTCAGGCTTTTTGGGAAGCATGGCGACGCCTGTCGTGAGGACCGGGCCTGGCATGGCCCCACTGCTTTCCCAAGCTGCAATGTGATCCGCAAGCTCCTGGAGCTGGGGCGTGGAGGCCTGCTTGAGCATCATTGCAGTCAGGCCATCGAGGCCCGGAACCTTGGGGGCCAGCTTTTTAATGACCTTGGCAAGCTCAGAGGGCGCAAGAGGCCCAAGGTCCCTGAACTGCTTGATTGCTTGCTGCTTGAGAGTGAGAAAAGCATCCTCATTGCCCAAGCGAACTGTCGAAGTTGGCTGCCACAGGTGCATCCAAGCGGCCCTTCTGGCATGAGGCCGGATCTCAAGCGGGAGGTCCCGGTAGGGCCTAGCCGTGGTGGCCTCAGATTTGCGAAGCACAGCATACAAGCCTTTCATGCCACCAGTGGTGGCGGAGCACAACCATTGTTGATACTGCTGGGCTTGCTTGTCGTGATGTTGCCTGCTTCCTGACTGACCTTTTTTAAGTCATCGAGGAGGGTTTGAGAGGGCACGGCACCTGCTTTGATGGCTTCGTACAGACATGATCTGAGAGCTGGGACATCAATGCCCTCAAGCTCAAGGTCTTGGTCCTCTTGCTCCAGGTGCCGCAGGACCGCAGGGATGACCCTGGTATTGAGTTTGTTCATGGCCGCCTGGGAAACCCAAAGCGCCAACCGACTCCAAAATCCATGCTTGCGACCCATCCATGGATAGTCTGGGGAGGTGGGCCTAACCAGAGGTTTGAACTCAGCCTCGACCCTCCATGCTCGGCCCTGTTCTCCATCTTCACACGTGGTGGCCTCCAGCCATCTAACAAAGCCACCCCACGAGGTATCTCTCGGGTGTGAAGACGCTTCCTCTAGAAGGAAAGAGACTCGACAGGGGTCGGGTGGTCGGGGCAGGTCTCTGGGTTGTTCCAGGCATCCTCTGGTAAACACCTTGGACTGCAGGACAGGGGTGCCCAAGCCACTGACCTGCAGGTTGTAGGAAATACCAGCGTGGGGACGAAAGGGGACGTCCCACGTGACTGTGGGAACGAGCAGGCCCACCAGCTCACGCGAACAGAGGGCATAGTCCAGGGTACTGCCCTGGGTGGTGGTAGCCTGATCGGGCAGGACCACCCCTGCCTGTGAAAGGCGGGGAAAAGAGGATTGCTGGAGATCATCCCACGAGCAGTTCCAATCACCCGCCAAAATCCAGCAGCAGGAAAAGGACTCAATGACCGTCATCAATTCCGCCAAGATCCTGGGGTTCAGCCCAGAGTCGGGTCCGACTCCACTCTCAAGATAGACAGTTCCAATGGCTATATCGTAGCCTGGAAAACGGAAAACCCCAAACAGAAAGCCCTTTCCCTGAATGGAAAATCTGGGTCCTTCCCGCATATTGATGTGGGTTTTGGCCCCTAGAAGCAGACCTCCAGACGTACCCTTGCCAGTGTCGTGGGCCGGGATACCATTGGTGCTCCACTTGCCTCGATCATAGTTGATCTGCGCTTCCTTCATAGGCTGAGGGAGGAGGTGAGTTTCCTGAATGGCAAAAGCATCAGCACTTTGCTGACCGATCCACGTGTGGATCTCTCGTCGGTGGGTGGTTATGTTTGCAACCAGAAAGCAGAAGTCCCCTCGACCATTTTGCTTCCGTGGTATCTGGAGCTGGGCAGCCACAGTGCGGACTCCTTCCGCATCCTCAAGCTCTTGCTCAAGACATGTGGCGATTCTGTAGGCAATCCAATGCTCCAGGGAACCTTCCTCAAAGGCCTTTTCATGCGTCTCAATCCACGCCAGAAGCTGGGACGACTTCGGGAGCATGGTATGAGACGGCTCCAGCTCAAGGAGCTCTAAGAGCTGTGGCCATGGTCCACTGGTTGTATCTTTGCCTTGGGTGCTTCGGGGCTGGGACTCCCCTGAAGAGGAGATCGCAAAAGCCCAAAGCTTGCACCCTGAGCATAGGTGATGAGAAGTACCTTGCCTCCAGCTGGCTGCAAGCTGCACGCTGCCTTGCTGCTGCAGCTCGTCACTGGAAAACTTGGCGCGATTTCTTACCTTCCTCAACCAGCCACCTTTGACAGCCCATCTGTAGCTCGAAGGCGCCGAGCAGCATAGCTCACACTGGGGTGGCTTAGCCGGGACCTGCTGGTTCTTGCCACTACTTGGACTGGGGGCCCCGGGGCTAGGCAGGGGACCACATGCCTTGCGGCGGGGCTTGACAGACAGCTTCGTAGCAGCGGCCTTGTTGCCATCCGCACTGGTGGAGGAAGGCCGATGAGGCCGGGTCGGGGAAAGCCCAACTGACCCATTAGGCTGCTCAGCCTGGGAGGGGTCCAACCCGCTCCCAAGGCCAGTGCCCTGTTCACAACTCGCCTCGTCTTCTTCATTCCCAAACTGTAAAAAGAACCTCGGGCCCGAGAGCGAGGGAGGTTTGGAAAAGGAGGGGCTTGGGAAAACACTTCCCACGGCCCGAAAAGAGCCCCCACAACGGAGGCAGCCTTCACGCAACGGTTTCTGCCTCTGCGAAAGGCTATCACTGTGTGGCTCTGAAGACAAGGCTGAAAA